AGCTGTTACCTTGGCTTGCAAAGGGGAGTTGTTTTTTTGTTTGTTTGTTTTTAAGAGGTTTTTGCTATATGGCACGTGCGCTTGCCAGAAAGTCAGAGAGAGACAGCGAGAAATCACCCCCTTCCCTCGGGGGGGATGGCCACACCGCTTCTCCATTCTCCTCTCGGGATCTTGGGCATGCACACACACACGCCTGGCATGAGTTTAAGCCACCGGGTCCAGGACTAGAACCATGGTCGACTACACAGGAGTCCAGCGACATAGCCATTAGGCCATCTACTGGTCCCGCAAAGAGGAGGTTTAAGTAATTCCATCATCTGCAACAATTCTGGCCCATGAGTTAAGACACATCTGAAGGACTTTTGGGTTCAAGCTGGTGTTTCCTTAACACAAAGGTCTGTTAAGACCACTCCTCAGGTGTGCTTCACCTCATTTTAAGGAGCGAAATAAGTTATTGCCTGACTTTCACTTAAGAAGTGGAAGTATCATCTTGGGGTTGCACGTGTAACCCCTGGAAGCAAGTCTTGCTTATAATTTAGAGTTCTCAAAATGGGACTAACTCAGTTCAGGGGTTTAAGTGAACAGTGCTTCCAATTTAGGGCTCCTAGTTCAGTTCAAATGATTGAGTCTTGTCCTTGTTTTTGGAGATACTGCCTACAGGCTGTCAATCCAGTCTTTCCTATTGGTCATAACACAACTAAATGACACTTCTCTGCACTGTAGAATGACTGAGAATACGGTTAGGGAAAACATCTGGGGTTTTTTTGTGGAAAGTACAGAAGCTGGAGTCAGCCTTGCTACTTCTGATGCATTTGTTCATAAGGTCAGGGGAATGACAAATTGTTGTCCAGGGCCAGCTGATGGCATTGAGGTTAAGGCAGCTGGATCCCTCAAGGACAAGTCCAAAGTTCGAGTCCCAGACCCAGTGTCTTGAAAATCTCACTGTGTGCATGTGTGTGCATGCGTGCTTAAATATCCTGGAAGAGAATGGAGGAGAAGGGATTACGATGTGGCCATCACCCCTGGAGGGTAATTTCTTTTCTTCTCTCTGTCTCTTTCTGACAAGTGCATGTGCTCTACAGGGGAAAAAATAATTGTTGTTAAAACCGTCTCTTGATAGCACACCCAGCAGTCCATTGAAGTACTGGTAACAGTTTGGAAAGCACTTTTAAGGAAATTATTTTTGAAATTAATTTTTTTTTCCCCTTTTTTGAGAGGTTTTGCTATAGGGCATGTGCACTTGCCAGAGAGACAGAAAGCGAGAAATCACCCCCCAGGAGGGATGGCCATGCCACAATCCCTTCTCTCCTCCATTATCCTCTCAGGATCTTGGGCATGCACGCACATGCGCCGGACATGAGTTTAAGCCACCGGGTTTGGGACTTGAACCATAGTCGACTCCATGAGAGTCCAGCAACATAGCCATTACACCAACTGCTGGTCCTGAAATTAAATTTTTTTTAAGAGAGGTATTTGCTATAGGGCACGTGCACTCGCTGGAAAGACAGACAGACAGAAAGAAATAACCCCCCAGGGGAATGGCCGCTCTACAGTTCCTTCTCCATTCTCCTCTCTGGATTTTGGGCACACACACAGGCACCTGGCATATGTTTTAAGCCACTAAGTCTGGAACTTGAACCACAGTCAGTTACGTGGGAGTCCAGCGACGTAACTGTTATGCCATCTGCTGGTCCCTCAAATTAGTTTTTGAATAGAACTATTTTATAAACCCACCAATGTCACAATGTAGATGTGTTAGTATGTAAGTACTTCAAAACTTACATTATTTTATTTTATTTTTTCAGAGATATTTTTGCTATAGGGCATGTGTGCTCACTGGAGAGACGGAGAGACAGAAAGTGAGAAATCAACCCATCTCTCCCACCTCTGACCTAGGACACGCCCTACGTATGCTTCATGTGTAATGTATGCATGCCGCACTGTCTCTGCATGCTTATCTCCTGTTATAGATTGTGAGGTTTTAAGTATTGTGACAGTAATCCCTTAACTTCTGTCCTTGCCAGGGCCAGTACCATGCTTGGCACACAAATGATGTTTGCTAAATACTAGTACTTCATTAAGTTTTTTAAAAGTTTATTTATTTTTTTTCATGATAGAGAGCACAAGAGCGAGAGAGTGAGAACCACAGGGGCTCGGCTGCCCTCCAGCTCACTAAGATCCTGGGCACACATGCACGTGTACCTGGTGTTCTTGAGGTCGAGTCGGGATCAGAACCCACAGTCAGTCACAAGCCTTCCAACACTGCAGTTCTGTACGCTACTACCTGTGCCACCACGCCTGGGCCTACCCTCCTCAACTTTTTATTTAACAGATATTAGGAAGTCTGCAGTAAGTGACTCTTTGTGCTTAGTGTCTAACAATCTTATAAACCTGGAATTTTGTAGATTAGATGAATCAGATAATGTCCTTTTATTGTATATACCAAGGAAAGTGAGGCTTAAAGAAATTGTGTTCTTGCTCAAGGCTTAGAACTTTAAGGCAGTGCTGTGATTAGAACCCAGGTCTCTTGAATCATTGTTTATTTCTCTTTCCATTATACCATCCTCTATTAGATGTTGAATGTGTGTAAGAAGATTATTAGGTAGTGAATGCTTGTAAGGAGATAGATGCTAACAGTTGAGCACTATCTTTTCTTACAGAAAGAGTCATATATTTTTAACATGAGGTTATTTAAGCAGAATCACCACTTGAAATTCTGCCTATGCAGATTTTGAAATACTTGTATTCAGTAGATTTTTGTTGTTGCAGTTTGATGTGTTTTACAGCTGATTTCTAGTAGCAGTTACTAGTAGTGTAAACAATTGCTGTTCTTCTGTGCTTTCTTGATGCTCATACATACATAGGTTCACATATATGATATATGTGAGTGCTTCTTAATCTCACTTTGTTGCTAGACTTTCAGGTTTATTCCACTTCTCCGCCATAAATTTTGACTGTGTAGGAAGTCTTATCTTTTTTTTTTTTTTTCTTTGAGAGATTTTTGCTATAGGGTTTGTGCACTCGCCAGAGAGACAGAAAGTGAGAAATCACCCCACAGAGGGGATGGCTACGCTGCAGTCCCCTCCTCCATTCCACTTTTGGGATTTGGGGCATGCACGCGCACATGTACTCCCGGGATGAATTTTAAGCTACCAAATCTGAGACCTGAACTGCGGTCGGCTGTGGGAGAGTCCAGCAACGTAACCATTACACCATCATCTGGCCCCCATTGTACATATATTTTAATACCAGAGTGGATACTTAGTAGATATTTGCTCAACGGAGCAAACTGAGGCACAGAATGAATGCCCAAAGCCCCATCATCAGTTGGCTTAACTCTCTTTTTAACTATTGTTATTTGCAGGTGATCTCAAGACTTCTCTAGGTTTCACTTGAAAATGTCCTGAATAGTAGAAAGTGCTCAGACTTTAGAACCAGACCTGAGCTTTAATTGGGATTCTGGCACAGACTAACTGTAGTGAATTTAGGATGGCCACTTAACATCCCAGAGCCTCTTCCATTAAATTCTTGCCTTGGGAGAGATGAAAAAAATGCATTTAAAGTGTTTTATATATGACTTTTTAAAAAATTTTATTTACTATTGTTATTTTTCAGTTTTGACCAGAGAGAGACGAAGAGAGGAAGGGTGAGAAGGCAGGTCACTAGGTCTGGGACTCGAACCATGGTCAATCCTGTGGGAATTCAACCGCCATGCCACCTGCTGACCTCAATATATAGTTGTTTTTGTATTGTAATAATACTACTGGCTAGCACTTAGTAGGCCCTTAGAGTGTACTGGGCATTGTATCATGTATCTCATGTATTAACTCATTTATTTCTCAAAACAACTCTGAATATGGAGAATGGAGAGGTTAAATAGTCATATAGCTAGTAAACGGAGGATCCAGGATTCAAACTCCAAGAGTTTGGAGGCCACGCTCTTGACTGTGGCAGGATTGCTGTGATACATATGTCTAGAGCAGGCTTTCTCCACCTTAACTGGGTTCTCAGTGGGCGAGATCATTCTTTGTTGCTAGGGTCTGTCCTGTGTGGGATGTTCAGCATCCCAGCTTCTCCCCACCAGGTGATAGTAGCACACCACCCCCATTTTGCACCTCAGCGACAATAAGAAATTGTTTCTACACACTGCCAAATGCTCCCTGGGAGGCCAAATTGCTTGACTGAGAACCATTGTCCTAGAAGAAGAGCATGTTTGGGGAGGGGAGAGCGGAAGGTGTTTTTTTAGCTAGTTGAAAATAGTTGGAATTTAGAATAAGGATCAGAACTAAAGATGTTATTTGAAAGCCACTATTAAGTAGTATTTACTTTTCCAGAGGTGGGAAAAGGTATATAGTGAGGTTAAAAAAGGACCAAAGACAGAGCTGGGGAAGCTTAGTAGTTGAAC